CAAACCAGATTCCAGCGGAGGAAGAAATCAGAAAGAAACGCTGGAAGTGGATAGGACACACATTGAGGAAAGCACCGAACTGCGTGCGTCACAAGACAAGCCCTCATATGGAATCCTCAAGGCCGAAGGAGGAGAGGAAGACCAAAGAATACATTACGCCGGGAAATGGAGATAGATATGAGAAAAATGCACAAGAATTGGATGGAACTAGAAAAGAAGGCCCAGGACAGAGTGGGTTGGAGAATGCTGGTCGGCGGCCTATGCTCCATTGGGAGTAACAGGCGTAAGTAAGTAAGTAAGTAACAAAATTATCGAATACAAATAGGGTTACATAGTTCTCTGATTTATTGTATAATGAATAAGTCATCTAATCAACAATAATAATGTTTAAAGAACGACTAACAGCTGAAGCACTATATATATGGGCTAATTCAAACAGTATTAATAGGGGTGATGGAATACAATTAGCTGTCCCATGGTAACTAATAATTGTTAAGTAAACCTGAACTCCTTATTCTAGTGTATCTATGTCATATTAACTCATCAATAGATAATACATTCAATGGTTTAAATCAGTTATTTTATCTGAATATGTTAAACAATTGATGGGAACATTAAAAATAACACAAACTTTCAATTACAAATATATTCTTCCTCTGTGAATTCAGTCTTTTATCTTGTTTACTTATCTTGCTTATTTATCTTCATTTAATGTAGGCTGTGACATTTTTGATTCATTTCATATATAAAATGATATGTTTTCTTAATATACACAGACCAAAGACAATATATATATATATATATATATATATATATATATATATAGTTGAATGAAATTTCTTCACACATCACTTACGTAGACACACAATCAGTTATGTTAACACTTTTCGTTTTTTACAACATATATCTCTTACACACTTATGTAAATACCTAGTTCAAACAGGGTTCAAGTTAATTGGATGTTTTATTCAGTATACAGTAAACTGGAGAACTATGTAAACACTATTTATATTCGATAAGTTTGTTGTTTGATTATATTTCCTTTGAAAAAGCTTGAACTAGATTGCCAGGCAAAACGTTGAATTTACTTCAAAGTCTTTCACTGAGATTTTACAAATACAACATTCTTCCTCTTTAATGTCTCACATTAACTCAGCGTCTAATTTTTGTGAAACTATTCGTTCAAGTTTAGACGAAAGTTTTTATTTATTTGAATGAAACTTTTAGAACCTATATATTAGTAATCCATATATTGGTAATATCATTATTATCATAAGAATGATAAACGTAGTATGTAATATTTTCAAAAACAAAACACTACATTAACTCAACTTTTTATGTTTAACAATGCTTAAATATATTTTTTGAAGTCACACTAATGAATTCATGTAAAAGTTTTACTTAAAACAAATATATTAGAATGCTTATTAAAAACTACACATAGATATGATTGGAAACTTATACTTCAGAAAAGATTATACCTATACACAATCATAAGAGGTATAGGAAAAAGGAATATAATTCTCGATTTCATTAAGAAGCAATTTTTATTTAAGCGGCCTGTTTTGGTGCAGCATAATTGTTTCAGTCACTCAGTCAGTCAGCTACAACGTAGGACTAAGCATATATATACATCGGTCCAATTTGCCTTACCGCATTAGCACAACAAGATCAATAACGGATTCATAGAAATATTTAATTCAGTGGTGGCATTATATAGAAGAAAGATTGCATACAAATATATAGTACAGGAAGAAACAATTAGTTCGTAGAAAGAAAGACATGAAGCGATTTTAATCTCATAGTTTAAGGGGAGACAGAGAGTGTATACACCTACGCCATTGTGATCGATTCTGAGCCATGTCACCAAGAGTCTCCAACCATTGGTTACGTCAGACACGCGGACCCCAACCATGTAGCTTGCATCTATCAACATGGCTCAGACCAGAAGTTAGTGACTTCAAGCACTGATGCCACGTTTTGGTTTTGCCGCCCCTAACTTTCTTCCAATTATCCTTAGCACCAGTTAGCATTGCGCGTCGTGATAATCGGTGTTCAGGCATATGGAACACGTGACCCAACCATCTCAGTTGATGAAAATTCATAACCTCATCAACTGATTTTCGATCATTCCCTAATACTCTACATCTAACGTCACTATTACTTAACCGGTGATCCTAGCGGATGCGAGCAATATTTCTAATGCACCTGTGGTCAAATACTAGTAACTTACGAGTATCTTCTACTCTTAAAGGCCATGTTTCGCAGCCGTATAGTTGAACGGAACGAACTAAACAACATGATTGTTTAGTTACTTAAAAGCAATTTTACTAGAAATTATAAATCAAAAATAACTTTAATTCTTATGCCTTCAGAATATGTGAACATGATTTAATGATAAGTAGCTTTATGATCTTGCCTTTGTGAACATTCTGTTATTTACTGGCACATTTTAGCAAATAACACTAACAAAACAACCATTAAATGTTAAACTAACCTCAATAGCATCATCCCATTTAAGTAGATCCTTGTATAATTTTACGACATCTTCAATAGAATTTTGTGATAGAAATATGTTTTCAGCTGCTCGAAAGTCTTTCTCGAGGATAGCAATGCATGCCTGAACATTTGACTTGGATAACTTGTTTTCCATTAATAAGTTTCGAGTTTGCCGCAAATATCGTGACTTGCTCACACAGCCTAAAGAAGCAAAAGACTGTTCTGAAATTATTAAATTTCCTGCCTTTAAAGAGGCAAATGCTAGTTTAGTCCACATAGATTTTGTTTCAGGTGTTACATCTAAGCTTTCCAAAAATGAAACTGCTCTTTCGAGATCTCCATCATCCATTGCAGTACCAAATTCAATACGACTGTCGTCCAAAGCATAAGCAACAGAGTTCACACCCTCATTTATTAAAACCTCAGTCCTGCCATTCTGACGTACGACATTTGTGATATCTCCACCTCTCAACGGGATCGATGTCATTCTGTCAGTCGATTCAGTGTTGTACCAAATGCAAAGACTATCTCTGGACTGAGCAATTATGACATCACTCTGTGGAACCCACTGTACATAGTAGCAAAAGTTAAGTAGCATAAATTTTACACCTGTTTCTATATCGAATAGAATAAGTTGGAGCTTCTTGTCTCGAAAAAGTAGCTTTTGTCCAGTTTCATTTAACTCAATCCAATCAATTTTTCTATCATGAGAAACGTGTGCAACATTTGAACCTGTTAGAAAATCAAAAATAGCTACCGTCTTCAGATCTAACATATAGGCAATTTTTTTACATGTACTATTATTGCTGGACTTTCGTTCGTTTACTCGGACACTTATTAGAAACGGAGTGGTAAATTCAGTTCTAACTGAGCCTAAAATTTCATTAACTCCATATTCAATCACATACAATTCACCAGAACCAAATATTATACAAAATTTATTATAACCAAAATAAAAGCGCTCCTTGGGGTTCTTTCTACTCCATGGAACTTCACTCAACTGATTCTCACGAAGATCACCAAGTATCAGAGTATTTGATGTATGTGTGACCAAGTATCGATTTTTACCCATTACTTTTACATCATCGATTTCATAGCCGAATTTCGACTGAAGAACAATTGCGTCATCGGATTTCAAGTTTTTTACAATAACTTGACTTGGTCCAACATAATTTAGTTCAAAAATATTTCTGTATAATTTCTTTTTCACACAACAGTCAAATAGGTCAACCCCACCACAATAGGTCCCAACAACTAATTTTGAACCGTCTTGCTTCCAGGCAATAGCCGTTATAGTGTAGAGATTTTTTATTTCTTTTAACTTACATTCCTCCCATCCACCTTTACGAGGGCTCCATGAGAGCACACGAATGCGGTTAAAGCTTCCGAATGCAACGACATGCCCACTAGGGTTGCATGACGCAACAGTAAATTCCTTTTCACTGTCATCTTTGCTGTAATCGAGTCGCTGTACAAGTTTTCCCTCTCTGTTATAGACATAGATACGTTTATCACAACCAGCAGCTAGAATTGTGGAACCAGCCCATGCTAAAGCATACGGGGCTGTTGGGTGAGTTGTAAGTTTCCCTTGAGCGTCGCCTGAACCATCATCATCAAAAAAATATCGAATTATTTTCCCGTCTGCATGCCCAGAAATAAAACCTTTGCCCGTAATATTCGCTGAAATTGAAACAACATAAGAGTCAGCATTATATATGGTGGATGATTTATTTGTACGTATGTTTGCAGCCCTAACCTTGCCATCAGCAAGGCCACAAATAATGGGTCTATCTACTGGCCAGGCAATACATGTTACAGGACATTTTTGTGGAAATTTATTACAAATTACTACTTTCTCATCCCATGACTCTCCGATTTTGTACACAAATATTATGTTGTCTGACTGTGCAATAGCAAGTTTGATAGAATCATGGGAAAATGCCATGCCTCGTACTTGAAATAAATTTCCATCATTATTTGAATCAGAAGGTTTTGTAGAAAAACGTGTTCGACGCTCTCCATTCTCATCAAAAATAATTACCAATCGATCACTAGTGCATACGGCTATTTTCTTGTTATTTGGAGACCAAGCAAGGCTCTGGACTTTAGCTTCATATTCTTGTGTTGGTATGAGAGTTTTCAAATGTATAAGATTCATCGCACTTTCACAAGTTTGAAAAATTATCACCACCTGTTACTATGATACCATTTCAATGTGTAATTGAATGTACAACGTAATATTTAAATATGGTAGAAAAAGAGAAAAGTCAACTACAGAACCAAGACATTTAGATGTAAAATCGCTGTATGAAGCTTTAAACATCCTTGTAAATAATATTATTATGAATAACATCTTTCTTTGGACACTTGGAAAAAGGTACAACTTAACACTCTAGTGCTCACTTAATTACCTTTTTGAAGGCATAACAGTTTGATCTTATGAAATTTAAGTTAGAAAGTACTAGAACCTATAGTAAATGAAATAATGGTGTATTTGTAGTGTGGGTCATTTAGAGCGCAATTTCAAACATGAGCGCCTGGTGCTTAGCCTCTGCTTTTTGGAGATCAGGATTCCACAGATGCGTATTACCGCGAAATATTCCGCACACTTTATCTATATCCAATAAGATTTTGGGAAATCAACCGCTTGCATACCCATGTCTAACTCAAACACGGTCGATAAAAATTCTGCTGTCTAAACCTGAGGTGGAAAGTAAAGTATTAGCTGTCTGTTCTGCGTTCGATAAAATCCAGTCCGATAAGGTTCTTGTGCATATTTATTTAACACTACATTCAGCTTACGCTTGATTCTTCGTTTATCAAAGATCTCGGTCTTGATAGTCTGGACCACATAGAAGTAATAATGGAAATCGAAAATGAATTCCGTAAGTTCTTTAAATCTAAGAAATTTGTTGTTTCTTAAACAAACGGAGATTTCGATTAGTGTCGCTTTTCGAACATTTTATGCCTTACTATCCACCGGTATTCAGACTTGTGCATTAAGCACAGAAGGCCCACTGCTTGTGTTATTCCTTTTCTTGTATGCTCCTGTGTCTAGTCTTTTCTTAAATGAGTCGATTAAAGGTCCGGACACCACTGCTTTGAGTAAAAGGCGTGAAAATATGTGTGCTACTGGTATTTTGTTCGTTCTTTGTTTTCCTACTCGCTTGTTATGTCTTCTGAGATGTCCAGATCCTCTTAGAAGAAAGAGAGGATATATTAGGTCCGAAGTCTTTTCTTAGTATTCTATGCACCAAAATCGGACCACCTCTCGATCTGCGATAGCACAGAGTAGAAAGGTCTAGCTTACCAAACCGCTCTTTATATGGTAAACTCCAGAGTTCTGGATTTGCACGGTTAGTTGCTCTCTGCATGTTTTCCAGTATATGCGAGTCACCTTTCAAACGGAAGCCTTCAACCTGTACTCAATTCTCAGGTTTAGTTCGCACTAAGATTGTGCATACTATAGCGAACATATTAGTATCTAACATGATGAATGTCCAACTGAAAGTTCATAGGGTTCTAAACCTCTTAGCTGTGACCTCCCGGCAGTGGTCTGTGGTTTAAAGATAATGGTTTACTGTCTCCCCAAGGTCGTTGTGAGACCAGACTACGGGTACAGGTACTTTCCCTATGCTATATCTATTTATCTTTTTATCAAAGTACATGTAGACACAATTGACCGCGCTAAAGAGTATCAGCCATTTTTTAGACCAGCCAATCACAATATTTAAGTCTGTCTGAAGTACTCATGCATCTGCGTCTCCTGATATTTTTACATCTTCGGCGTATAGTATCGTTGGGGACTCAACTATTCTTGGGATTTTATTTATATAATATCTGCTTTTTCCTGATCATTCTCTATCATTTGAAATATACTCCCTTCCGTAATTAGGTTGGGAATCCAATGCTGCGTCCTTGTTCTGTAATTTATGTACGGGAATAGCCTCTTAGGTTACTTGATTACAGATTGGACCAACTGCTTTTCATATTTTTGCTGAGCCTCCCGTATTGTAATTATACACTTATTTCGTACCGACTTGTTGCGTTCCATAGTACTTTCTGTGCCAAGACTGATGGTGATGTTCCAAAACTTCTTTTGTCTTGGTAAACGTCTAATATCGCGGTCTATCCAAGTATGACCGTGCTTCTTCCTTGGGATTGACCGAGATGTAAATGGTTGAGTCACTTGATTGTATGACTGCCAGAAATGTGTCCATGCCTCTTCTACTGATGTCCGAGTCAATTATCCAGTTTTCATCTGACGCTGCAGAGGTGATTGCCTTTATGTCTGCCTTCCTTATGTTAGGACGGGCCGGCGCAACTGTTTGACTGGCCATCTCAGCCATGAACTTGAATAAGATGACTGCATGATCACTTCTGCCTAGAGGTAGGATGAAATTTATTTGACTGACATTATCATGTGTGAAGATTTGATCCAAGAAAGATGAGGAGTTTTGTAATTCATATCTAGTGGGATATCTAATACGCTGGAATAAAGCTAGAGTGAATGTGGTTTCTAGCAATCTACAAACAAATGATGTTGTTGATGACCCAACTTCTAAATCTTCCCAGTTTATATTAGGTGAATTAAAGTTGCTTATTATAAAGGTTGTACCTCCTATCACATCAGGGCTTGAGTTTGCTTGGGAGGAAGTCACCTACTATATGTTCTGGACCTCAGTATACTACGACTAGTTCAATATCTCGCCGTTTGCACTTCGCCATGCCGCGCACCAGTTCACATGTGCTAATGTCTCGACAGCTCGTATGGTTAAGGTACTTTCCGTGCATAGGATAACCCCCGTACGGTTAGTCTATCAGTCCTAATAGGTAAGAAACCAAGCAACTGAATCTCACTATCAGACACTTCTGATATCAACCATGTTTTAGGGATGGTAATGACATCATCATTTTCACCACGTCGTCAGTCTCTCAGTGGTGACTTTCTGACTAAGGGACTGACGACGTTGTTTACAAAGGTCTGGGAACTAGAGAATGTACCAACGTCATGGAATGAGTCGATAGTTGTCCCTATCTTTAAAAAGGGTTCACGTCGTTCCTGTAACAACTATCGGGGGATAAGTCTACTTCCGATTGCGTCCAAGCTACTGGCTTCCTTTATACTTCGTAGGTTGTTCAAAACCCGAGAAAGATTGACTCGCGAGGAGCAGGCTGGGTTTCGTTCAGGTCGAGGATGTATTGATCATATCTTCACCCTCCGCCAAATGTTAGAACACCGCCATACTTATCAAAGGCCAACAATCGTAGTGTTTCTTGACATCAGGGCTGCCTTCGATTCGTTGGATCAACTGTTCTCTGGGATTGTCTATTGAAGAAGGGTGTGCCTGAGAAGTTTATTAACATTTATTATTTTATTTTATTTTAACACATAAGTATAGGTACAGGGAGGCACCAAATACATATGCGCCACACAAATCTCAATTGATTTGTGTGAGGGCTGTGATAATGCCCGGGTGCCCAAACCGAAGCAGGTGGTTTTCTTAGGGGGCCACACCCCGAGCCTTCGACCTGAACGTCTGATCCACAAGGCAGTGGAGCATCGTGAGGAGATGCAGTCCCATGGTAGCCGGTGACCAACGATTGGTTCATACGCCACTTGTCCCTTCAGGATACTGGAGCCCATGTGCACCATTGATTTGGGATCCGGTTAAAGCCGGTGCCGCACATTCGCTTTTCGTCCTCTCATTTTCGTAAACAACATTAATGCCACGAGAAGGCAGTGAGTAGGACTTCCCTGGCAGGGGCTATATACGCGTGGCCATGTGAGAGCATTTCGAGAGGGAGAGCGGACTCTCCCCACTCTCAGCCTTACCAGGGCATTTGGGGGCAAAAACCTTAGGTAGAGTGAGGGCATACAACCACCTTTCTCCATTATTCCATTCAAGCAGTGGGGTTAGGCAGGGTTGCCCAATCTCACCATTCCTCTTCAACTTTGCCATCGATGGCATTCTGGAAACAGCTCTGATGGATGTAAGTAATGGTGGTGTGGATCTGTTGCCTGGAAAAAGACTTCTCGACCTTGAGTATGCGGATGATATTGTCTTACTGTGCGAGAATGCCCAAACTATGCAATCCGCACTTAATCAGTTGGCAATCAGTGTCCGTAGGTATGGTATGTGTTTTGCACCTTCGAAGTGCAAAGCACTTCTACAAGACTGGCAGGATTCTAATCCTGTACTCACTCTGGATGGTGAGCAGATTGAAGTAGTCGAGAAGTTCGTGTATCTGGGTAGCTGCATAAGTGCTGGTGGTGGTGTGAGTGACGAGATCAATGCACGTATAGTAAAAGCCAGAGCGGCTTATGCCAATCTGGGCCATCTTTGGCGCCTTCATGATGTTAGTCTGGCTGTAAAAGGTCGGATCTACAACGTGGCGGTGAGAGCAGTTTTGCTCTATGCTTGTGAAACCTGGCCTCTACGAGTTGAGGATGTTAGACGTCTCTCTGTGTTCGATCATCGCTGTCTCCGAAGGATTGCTAACATCCAGTGGCAACACCATGTTAGTAATGCAGAGGTTCGGCATCGTGTGTTCGGGCACAGAGACGACAATCCAGTTGGTGTCACCATCTTGAAACACCGGCTTCGGTGGCTTGGACATGTTCTACGAATGTCGTCCCAGTGAATTCCACGTCGTGCATTATTTGCCGACCCTGGGACTGGTTGGAAAAAGCGGAGAAGTGGTCAGTGTATGACATGGTGTCGTGGTATGAAAGAAAGCTGCAAAGGGCTGGCTTCTGTTGGTCCTTCACGACTACCTGGCTGGGGTCCGAGAGATGGTGTAACATATTGGCTAGAGACGCTATCAGATATGGCTCAGAATAGAAACCAGTGGCGATCGTGCTGTAACCTTCTTTTACTTCCTTCATAAAAAGTGGCTGTATCCTCCTTAAATGTAAGATTTCTTCTGAGTGTACCTTTTCGTCTCCCCCATTATTGTTCTTTCCTTTTATTTTATAATCCTCTACGTTCCTTACTTTTTTTTCCTTTCTTAAATTCTCATTGTTTTGTGTGGCGCATATATATTTGGTGCCCCCCTGTACCAATATTTATGTGTTCAAATAAATGAATAAATAAAACGACATCAGGGTTTTCTGTGTCCATCACTGTTTTGTGCTCCTCCATTTTATTAGGTAGTCTGCGAGCATTTGTATAGCACACTTTAATTCGGTGAGGAACATTCCCTTACCACCCAGAGTGGTTTGAGGTCCATTTTGCTCCTAACTTTCCCAATTTTGGAACCCTTAAGTATAAGGTTTTAGGCTCTTTCGGTGGCGCTCATTTATTTCTGCTCTTGCCGATCATCTCTTAATACGATCAATCAGGCTGAGATCCTCACGGACATATGTTCCGGATCCAGTCAGTTTGCATGAGTCTTCCAGTATTAGTTTTATTTATACAGTTAATGCAAAGGTAACTTTTAGAAGGCGGCTTTTCTGCTTACTTTCTGAAACCACTTTTTTTCCTATTCTATAAAGCTTACGGATGCTAACTTCTGATACAATTTCTGGCAGTAGCTTGCTTATTAAGGACTTAACGTGACTGAGGTCGTATTCAAATCTAGCCTTTGGTTTCTTTTCGGAAGATTCTTTTGAAAATTGATTGACCTATCAACGATGTCCGTCTTAACACGCTGTGAAGTTTTGTTTCCTGAAATCTCGCAGTCCTATTTGGCGTCAGACAGTCGGTTATGTGCTGTTAGGTTAGAAAGCTCCATTAAATTGAGAAACGATGTCTTCCCGTCGTTACCTAGTCTCCGACAGATTGTAGCCGGGATGTGATCATGGATAACTTTTACCACCAGCTAACTGTTCTTCTACAGAAAGCGATTTCGGCAGATGTTGTAGTACTAGCCGGAGGCTTGGATGTTCAAATCGGGTGTCTAGACACAGAAGAGTCGTTTAGGTGGCCGATGAGAGCGGGTAACGATGACCGTCTACTCCCACTGTATGCAGACTACAACCTGTTTCTGGTTAGCACTAACTACTGGCACAGTCATCGCCGATGTGCTACCTGACGTCCCCCCTTTTCATCTCAAACCTGAACTCAGATTGATGACATCGCAATAAGCTACCGTTGGTTTGTTTGTGTATGACACTACCTTTCCTTTTATAGTACCTATCTGAACTCTGATCATGCCATTGGGTGTGCTAATCTTACCTTACGTTCCCTTGGCCAACAAATTTGTCGTCCTAAACGGATGAATGTTAGCAAATTGTTTGCGGTTTTTGTCGCAACTATCAAACCGAACTAGGTTTAAGGCTAGCTACCATCCCACCAAAAAGTATATTTCTGTATTTGAACACAAAACATAGGTACCAGAGGGCACTAAATACATATGCTCCGCCACACAATAACAATGAGGCTAGTAGCAGTTATCATTGATTTGTATCAGGGCTTGGATGCTGTCCGGGTGGTTTTCCTAGGGGGCCAGACCCAGATCCTTCGACCTGAAGGTTTAATCCACAAGGCGGCCCGGATAGCTCAATGGTAACGTCTCTGACTGTGAAGTGGGATGACACGAGATCGAATCCGTCAGGGAGCACCAGTTCCCTCAAGATTACAGGTACACCTTGCTGACGAGTGCCAAGTAGCACGAAGCACGAGTCCAGGTTTTCCTGTCGACTACCTCCAACCACCATCTAAAATATGTTGCCCTGGTACGGCCGAGAGTGGGGAGAGTCTGCTCACCCTCTCGAAATGCTCTCACATGGCCACGCGTATATAGCCTCTGCTAGGGAAGTCCTACTCACTGCATTCTCGTGGTGGGTGTGTTGTTCACGAAGCTGAGAGGACGAAAAGCGAATGTCCGGCGCCTCAACCGGGTTGGTGGACATGGAGAGTCCACCTAGGGGAGTTGGGAAACCGTGATTCCAAGCCAATGGTGCACATGGGCTGCAGTATCCGGAAGTAACAAATGGTGTATGAACCAATCGTTGGTCACCGGCTACCATGTGACTGCATCTTCTTATGATGCTCCCCTGCCTTGTGTATCAGACCTTTAGGTTGAAGACTCGGGGTATGACCCCCTAAGAAAACCACCTGCTTCGGTTTAGGCACCCGGGCATTATCACAGCCCTCACACAAATCAAAGGAGATCTGTGTGGCGCATATGTATTTGATGCCCCTTTGTACCAATATCTATGTTCAAATAATAATGTTTCCTCGAGTCCACGTGCACCATTGGTTTGGAATGAGGGTTTTCCAACTCCCCTAGGTGGATCTTCCATACCCATCAACCCGGTTAAAGCATCGGACATTTGATTTTCTCCCTCCCGATCTCGTAAACAGCAATAATACCCGCGATAAGGCAGTAGTTGTAACGCACGTGGTCTTATGAGAGCATTTCGAAAAGGAGAGTTGACTCATCACACCCTCTACCGTACCAGAGCATTTAGAGGCACCGAAAGGTACAGATGAACATCGGTTGCAAGACTGGAAGGACCCTGATCATCTATATCGGTGGTTTGGAAATGCCCTACGAATGTCGTCCCAGTGAATTCCACATCGTGCATTATTTGCCGACACTAGGACCGGTTGAAAAAAGTGGAGGGGTGGTCAGTTTATGGCATGGTGTCGTGGTATGAAAGAAAGCTGTGTAGTAATGGCTTCTGTTGGTCATTCACGATTCCCTAGTTAGAGTTCTAGAGATGGTGCAATACAGTGGCTTTAGATATTATCAGACATGGCTCAGAATATAAGCCAGTGTTGATTCTGCTGTAACTTTCTCCATAAAAATGAACGTAACTTCCTTAACTGGAAGAATTCTTTCTGGTTGTATTTTTGATAACTGAACTACCTCTCCCATTATTATTTCACTCTCATACACTGTTCGTTGTTGTTATTCATTTTATTATACACACTGTACATTCTCTATCTCTTCACATTCTCATTGTTATTGTGTGGTGCATGTGTTTGGTGTTCCCTTATACCGATGATTATGTGCTCAGATAAGTAAATAAATAGATAGTCTAAGAAGCAAATATTCCCAGTAAGTAAAGTCATGTGTTATCCCTTTTTTATAAACTACCAGTACTGTTCGAAATATTCTACGTAGTTTAGTTTATCAGGCTTATACCACCTATTTTGTTTTTTATAACTCATTTTCCCTAGTTAAGTTCGTCTATTGCTTCTGTACATTGTTAGTCTATCCATATCTCACCTATTTTGTGCCTTAAATTTATTTCAGGGTTTGAAATAAGTGATGTGGACGCCGAAAAATTGCACACACCTCGTGATATTGTGGAACTTGTGTATCATTCAATTAAAAAAGCAGAACCTGCAAATTAAGATACTGGTGACATATTAAAACACTTATAATTATTACTAAAAACACTCTAGACCATATATTATTTGTAGATATTGTTCTCCTGAACACGCTACTTTTCAATTTATGAAGGGTGCTTGGGCTCATAGAAGAATGTTGCTATCTTTCTCCAGAACCTTATCATATTATATCATTAGGTCTTCAATTGAAGTTGTCTCATAGTAATATATATTTCAATGTATAAGGGAAATCAGAAGTTTGGTTATGTTAACTGTACAAATACTGTCTTAACATTCGTTGCGCGTAATGATGAGATTTTTTGTTTCAAATATGGATATGAAACAAAGTTATGGTTAATATACGCTTTGTCGTGATTAGGTGAATGAGCCTGTATTAAAAACAAATTTGAAAAGAATACAACTTTCTGGAACTCATTTTGTATTTTGCCAGTCATTGGGATCAATACCCAATCTCGCCAGGTAACACATTTCCTAAGAAACTCGTCTATGTTCCACGAAGCCTTTAGCTTTTCTAACCCGATATCTCTTCAACAGGTTGGAGAGATTGATAACACCCAAGTAAAACCACTGACCACGAATACTCAATGCCTCGTTAGCCGATCCTACCCTGCATCAATGTTTTGAGGATATATTACTACGGAATTACATTGCATTGTTCTAAACTGCGAGCAATGAATAGACCTGAAGGCCTCTACGAATTATTGATAGACATGACACGACTTTGCACATTCTATAAATCTGTGGTGATTCGGAATCATTAATTATGGTTCTCAAGTTGTTATAATTAATAAGCTTCCCTAACCCGTTAATTAACTATAAATGCATGATTTATCGAAACTTCTCAAGCCAAAACTATTTCCTCCGTACGCTGACTTATTGGGGCTAGATAAGCACTATAGTCTGTTTATTTAACGGGATTATTCAACTTGCACCTTTTATATTAATTCGAACCATACTCGGTATTCTATTGTGGCCAGGAATTGCTCTTCCCGCAGTCTAAGCGAAAAAAGACCATGCACAGAATTCCTTAGCTAAAATGTCCTATTTTGTGGAGTTCAAGCAGTGACTTTGTTTACAATCCCTAATACAACATTTATGAAGTCAGTAACTATACATGAAGTATGAAAAGCTTTCGTTTACAGGAAGCTTCAGTAAGATTGCATAATTTTAAAAAATGGAGGGGATACTCTTATTGAGGTCCATGTTACTGTACATTGCTGAGTATTCACGAAGCTCTGAGTTAGCGTCCACGTGGTGTCGGTGATGGGTCGTGAACATGTTGATATCTATTTGCAATCCCGTCTACGATGTCGCGAACTATGTCAACCACTCCTCATGTGACTCCAGAAATTTGACTATCTTTTTGAAATCTCGCCCCAATGACTGTGCACCCGTTTAATACTGACAGTGAAAATAGAGGAAAAGTCATTTGCACAATCTAATGATTTAATACACGTATTGATTCTCGCCCGTGTCAGAACAAGAGGATCTTTGTGTAACACTTTGAAGAATGTTCGTTAAATTTATACCTCCGACCTAACTGCCCACGATTTTAGTAAGTTGAGAGGTTGCGATCATAAACACCATAGGTCCTGGCAGTGATGTCAGTTGAAGTTGCCATACTGCACTAGCAGTATTAGCTGAGTCGAAGTAATCGTAACAACAATGTTAGTAGAAAGGACCAAATACTAAATACATCGTTCGAGAACATTGAATAGAATGGTATGTATGAATGAATACTTGGGCATACTAAATAACTGAATTTAGGAAGTAAAACTAATGTATATGTAATATCCCAATGAGTAGGAAAATTAAGTTTTTAGATTCCTTGACGTTTCGAGGCTCAACGTAAACCACTTCTTCAGAGGATGAACAAACAAATTAATTATCAAGTCAAACCTTGGTAACGACACCTATGAACTTAGGAAGATCTAGGAACTAGTAGTTACACTGAAATCTCAGTTCGTAAAAACGAATCAGAATTACTTCCCACAGAATGGCATGCATGAGCAATAGGTGTCTATCAATTCATGTGGATTCGGTCCAAATAAGATTAAGAACGATATACACGCAACTTGACCACTTGCAGGAATAGGCCAAACATAAGACTAAGGGATTGTGTCGAATATGCTTACGGCTGAAAAGAAGGAACAAATACATCACCATTGCATTTCAGACTGTCACTTGTCAATTTGATGATCTTATGAACCCACAGCCTAAGCCTTATCCAAATCCGCACAGTTAAGTCTGAGCAGTATAGACATCTGGGAATTCTCTGAGCTTTTACGGATCTGTTCCTCTACCCAGCCAAGACGGTAGGCCAGTGCGCAAAGCATTGGGTTCTTGTCTAGTCACTCGTACGTCCAAATCCATTCCTAAGCAGTGAGGTCTGTCCAGCCAAGTAGTGTGGCTTAAGGTCGAGCACATAACCCGAGAGTTAGTAAGAGTTAAACCCGTTTCGTACTAACCAGCCTAACGTAATAAGATATGTATTACACTAGTCAATGAGTACTTACGACGCATTTAAGATTTTCATGTAGCATTCTTCTCACAACCTCTAAGCCAGTTACCCGAACTCGCCGGTAGCGAGCATAAATCTAGAGGTAATCCTCACTAAGTACTGGTGATCCATGAATAACTAACTTTAAAACCTCATTTCCAACAGGCTCTAAATGATATAGGAAAGACCGGTATGGGATGTAGTCGTTTTCTGATTAGTAGGAAAACGTGGCCACACTACTGGTGGTCAATGACGTGGATAGTTTGTACTAGACACAAGTATACACTAGTCTAAGATTTCAAAATGGTCACAAATTGATTTTTTTAGCTAGAACTCATCATGTGAAAATGAAAAGGATGCATTAGCCATTTCGCAGTTAATCTGATCAATTGTAGTAGACATTTAGACGATTGGGGAACGTGGAAAACAACAGTTCCCGAGACCTTTTTGATTACACTCAAGGGATCCTAACTTTACAGTTATGACAACGTATTGTACGCTACCTCCTCCTATTCGCGTCTTAATAACAATAAGTGATTCACAACTGTGTATGCTAACCCCCACTCGTTAACCTACCAAGATACGAAGGAAATCAGGTGTAGTGCAATTTGAAATTACTATCGCTTAAGATTTGGTAGGTTACTTTCCTTGTTTAATCAGGTGTCCAGGGGACTGTGGTACATAACTTATCGCCGAACGTCATTCACAAGTCTTTCGGTAAGTTTAGATGTCGTGGACCTATGACGGAGCTTCAGGGGACTACGAATGCTTCGTTAGTTTAAAATTTTAGCACTAGGTGTTGAAGCAAATGGAAGTGGACCCAAAACGGAAATGATAGGCAGGGCGTACTCAAGTATTTCTAGGTGTGACACGTCCGAAATTCTTGTTGAGCGAACCCACGGAGAAACAGAAATTAAACACTCGTGTCTTTGTCTTCGTTCATAAACGACTAGTGGGTCCTGATGGGATGAGATAACCACTCGGATGCAGTAGATTGGGTTTTATATTACTGTTATTTGTCGGTCAGAGAAGTGACACCATTTTGTGTAACAGGCCCAACCTCTCGTACACCCTTTTCGCATCGCTGCACCTGATACAAGGTTAAGTTAAGGGTATAAGTCTGTACATGATTACATCGCACGGTGTACGACTAGACGCTTGCTACTTACATCATTGCACTTCTAATGAACTTGCAACTTATTCGTAGCTCAGAAAGAGTAACGGCGGTCTGTTTCGTCTTCAGGACTCAACAGATCTTCACAAACTGATCACGTCACAGGATTGGTATGGCGTATGACATGAGTAATCTTTTGATCAAACCATTTTGGTTTATACATAGGTTATTTCCGCAATGATGATAAACACCGAATGGTAAAATATTTCAAATGGATATAAAACACTCAGTGTATAAAACAAAACTGAATGCAAATCACAGAAACAAGTTTACTAGAACGATGCATTAAAGAACAAAAAATAAATACAGGTTAGGAATCGGAGATAATATTATACAAGTGTTAAAATATCTGTCAGTGACGATCCTCACTTTTGCGATTGGAAGAACGATGGTGTCGTTTTCTACTTCTATGGGAATGTTTTCCATTACGGTGACGACTATGCCTCCGACTATGAGAACGACTCCGTGAACGACTACGACTTCTGGATTTCTGTCGACGTTCACTTTTTTCAAGCTCACGTTCGCGTTCGCGAATACGCTCTTTTTCACGTCTCTCCTCCACTGTGATAAAAATAGATCGGTTGTACCCTTCAAACCTGCGCCTGCGAACAATATGATTTTCGTTCACATACTGCCTCAACTCAGCTAATTTTTGCCGAATCTCAATGAAACCCAGATGCAATTTTCCTCCAAAATGGTCTGCGAGTCGACGATCATTGTCGTGCACACCAAGATAAGCAGAACAAACCTCACAGACCCGAAGCTTCTGTTGCTGGTAAGTGCTTGTCGGTATTGCAGTTCGCAAATCTGCTTCGCTTTTAGCTTTTTCCAAGTTCAATTCTTCAACCTCCTTCATAAGTTTCAAAGATTCCTCGACATGACCATCCGCGCCAAGTTGTTCAGCTTTAGCTAACTTTGTTCCTATTTGCTCGCTAAGTTGATTTATATGTTCAGCCTTCTGCGAAGCTTCATCTGTTAATTCTTCCTGGGTCTCCCGCAGCTTCGCCTTCGCAACATCCGTACGTTGGTCGCAGTCCCGAATGAATGCCTCTAAATGCTCTAGTGCCTTCGAAATATACATATATCAAAGTAACTTACATCGAGCTCATATTGGAATTTTTTCGTGTCTGGTTCTTTGCGATAATCTGCCTTATGAGCAGGATCATGTATGAAAAGGCAGTTTCCCAAGTCCATTCGCTAAACATGGTTAAAAAAATTAAAGACCTACCGTTCCAGATAATATTTCATTTGGACAACAATCCAGTAGATAACTTTTACAGACGCGAGGATTATCAAACTCTATCCTTGGTTCTTGTCCTAAATAGGCGTTACCAGTATATGCGGTCAACAATTTTCATAGAATAGGAAAAATTAACGCATTTACATTTAACATCTAAACCATCAAATAACCCTCAGACCCTTTACTTACATGAATTGACATTCAACCGCACAAACACATTCATGAACACCTTAAAAATAATGAAGAGACAAATTGAGTGCAAAGCTCAGAAAAACCTTATCTACGCACTTAGAAAGTCGTGGGCCATTTGACAATACATATCAGTCAACAAACTTTAAGGAGATAACTTACCATTTCGGGTTGTTCCCATATATTCATCCAGAAGGGCACGGATTTGGTCAGTAGCTGACATATTGCTAACATCAATTGGATCGCCGACGTATAGTAAACAGCATAAACAAACAAGCGCAGCAATCTCAACATCCAATACA